AGGGGAGGGAAGGGGAGGGAAGGGGGAAGAAGAAAGTGGGAGGGAAGGGGAAAGGTCGGGAAAGGGGGGATTAGATTCTATTATAAAAAAAAGTAATAAACAATAAATGATATTTATATTTGGTAAGTAATACTAATTGAATGAATAAATAAAATATGACGTTACATATTAACATGAATTAATCTATATTAATCTATATTATTATTTAAATATCAATATAGATTTTTTTAATATTCTAGAAGGGAGAAGGGCGAAAGGGGAACGGGGAAGGGGGAAGGGAGAACATAGATAGGTCATAGGGGTGGGGGATCGGATGAGATTCTTTACAGAGCGGGATGCCTTAGCTGATAGAGCGATGTGGTACAAGCCTACAAGGTGTAGAGAGACACGGTCCAGGAGGTGAAGCGCAACAACTCCCATCCGCAGAAGGAGAATGAAGAGAAAGCATACAGCCAGAGAGAGAGAGAGAGTGGTGGGAGCGGGAGCGGCCTCCCTCCCCCTTCCCTCCCACTTTCTTCTTCCCCCTTTCCCCCCCTTCCCGCCCTTCCMCCCCATTCCCCCCTTCCCTCCCTCTTCCCCCCTTCCCCCCGCCCGTTCCAACCCCCTTCATCCCCGCCCCCTTTCCCCCCACCGCCGGGGGACGGCCGCACCCCGTCTAACCTGATTGGACGACCGGTAGGACAGCCGATCAGATGGCCTGTCCAAAAATGGCTTGGAGGGTCTCATAGTAGTCGCATGTCCCTAATGTTTGAGGGACAAAACGCAAATTTCCCATTTGAGAGACAAAACGCAAATTTCCCATATGAAGCCGGTCAGCAGTTCAGCCAGGTCACCAGCAGCTCGCCTCTCATCCACGTGGCAGTCTAACATTCGCTCCTGGCCTACACATCCCCCACACCTATCACCGCGCCTATCACCACACAAAGGTCAGGAGGCACAGACACACACAGAGACACAGAGAGAGAGAGAGAGAGAGAGAGAGAGAGAGAGAGAGAGAGAGAGAGAGAGAGAGAGAGAGAGAGAGAGAGAGAGAGAGATTGCCTGCCATACCTTCAGTAGGTCAGACGGGTTCCATACTCCATACATGCAGGCCATCCAACGCGCAAACGCAGAGGGGTGGGAGAGGGAGCCAGCTATAAGAGCAAACGCCCAGGCGCAAGGACATTCGGAGATCTAACCTGTACCCGGCCTCGATCACGACCAGATTAACGGTTGTTGCCTTCTTCTTCAGGAGTGTCCTTCCTGATCGGGGACCGATCAACAATTCAACCAGGTCACCAGCAGCTCGCCTCATCCACGTGGCAGTCTAACATTCACTCCTGGCCTGCACATCCGCCGCACCTATCACCGCACAAAGGTCAGGAGGCGGCCGAGTACGGCGAGAGCACTGCTTCACCCGACGACTGTACTTGATGGGCTCTTTGTGTCCCAGTCCGGACGATTCCAGCCGTACGGCACCTGGTCCAGATGTCCGTCCTTGTGGGACTTCCCTACCGATAGCGCATAGAGGGCTCGTTCAAGTAGTCGCCGACCAAGTACGGGACCCGTTCCATAAGTCCTGCTGGGACTTCGGTAGCGCACAGGTGTTGGTGGCCCCCTTTGGAGCACTCGCCGGGTGGTGGTCCCCGGTGGTCTACACTAAGGTAGGACACACGGGGTGCGGGGGGGTAATTGATCAGAGGGAGGGCGGAGGGGGGGGTCTTCTGAGGGGGGTTGGGAAAAAAAAGAGGGAAAATTTGTCTGGAGCCCCTGTAATTTCCAATATTTCGCGTCGCGCCCCTCCGACTGCCAACTTACCCTGTGGTGCCCCTGGGGCCTCCGAACTTTCCTCCATGCCCTGTCAGGAAGGGGCGAAACTTTCCGCGGTGCCCTTACTGGACGGCCAGTCTCATATCACTGGTCCCTCTGCGATATGCCCTCATGAGTGGCATACATCTTTCCAGCATGCCCTCGGGCCAGAAATTCGGATTTGAAGCATGTGTTTTTTGTGGCGCTGCCGCAAAAAATGACGTGTTTGTGAGACACACACACACACACAGAGGGAGAGGGAGAGAGAGAGAGAGAGAGAAAGAGAGAGAGAAATGAAGTGGCCGTCATGTGCGCGTGTGTGTGTGTGTGTGTGTGTGTGTGTGTGTGTGTGTGTGTGTGTGTGAGAGAGAGAGAGAGAGAGAGAGAGAGAGAGAAATGAAGTGGTCGCCATGCGCCCGTGCACGCGTGTGTGTGTGTGTGTGTGTGTGTGTGTGTGTGAGAGAGAGAGAGAGAGAGAGAGAGAAATGAAGTGGCCACCATGCACGTAGCCATAGAGGTGCGCTGAAAACCTGCACCCTACTGATAGGGGCATATGGAGAATTTTGGTGCTGGTACTCATTGGCTATTCGGTAGGGGCATACTGCAAACTTGGAATGGGTACCGGTAGGGCATAACAAAATATTTCAGGCCCAGCTGACGCCGGGGTTTTATGGGACATTTGAATCGTGCTCAGAGGGGCACGACAGGGTAAGGGGCATGTCGCCAGAAACATTTTCCCAAAAAAAAAAAAAAAAAAAAAAACTCCAGCTACTAAATGCATATCTTGCTCTTTCTTCAATATGCGAAATTTGTGTTTTGTCCCTCAAACATTAGCGAAATTGCTACTATGAGACCCTCCAAGGCATGGCATTTTGGGACGGGCCATCTGTCTGTCTGGCTGTCCTACAGGTCGTCCGATCAGGTCAGACGGGTTCCGGCCGTCCCCCTCCCCCCGTAAAAAAAAAAAACAGCCCTTTTTTTTTTTAAACAAAAAGCCCTTTTGTTTCTCCCCACTTAAAAAAAAAAGGAGCCCTTTTTTTTCCTCCCCACTTAAAGAAAAAAGCCCTTTTTTTTCCTTCTCGCCGGGGTGCGCTATTCGCCACCGGCACCCCACCCCGCCCGCTCTTTTGCCAAGGCCCTTTTTTTTTCAGGGCGGAGGGGGCAAAATGCACCCGACGATGGCTCGACCAGCCCGTGAAAATGGAGCGGGGAAGGGAGATCTCGTCCAGGAGCATGGTCCCATTAGCAAGGAGGATTGGATTAAGCTCATGAATTTGGACGTGTTTTAAGCAGAGATGCAGAAAAGTTGTTCAATCCAATCCATGTCGCTAGTGGGACCTCTCCCCACTTGGATGGAGATGTTAATGATGTCTGAGTATGTTTAAGCAGTTGATGAGGTCTAAGTGTGAGGAAGGGGGGGGTGAGAGGGAGTCTCAAATACATCACGGTCTTGCCGCAAATAGAACGCATCCTAATTTTCACTGTATCGGCCGGGAAACATACGTTGTATACGCTCATTTTCAGAGGGGATGACGATAGCATTGCGTTTAGGTAACCCTTATGGAGTTTAGTGCCCTCCATCAAGTGAGGTATAAGTCTCTGACTCAGGTGACTTTATTTCATTCACATATATGTCTAGAGACGTCAATGTAGTGAAGTCGGAGGAAGATTAAATTTTATTTTACTTTCAATAAAAAAAAAGGCGAGGGTTTGCAAGGACGTCGGATTAGATGAGAGGAGGAGGAGAAGAATCCCTCTGGATGGAGCAAGGTTCCACCTGGAAAGAACATTCAATTAAGAGCATGTATATAGGGTTATACCATTACCACATTTCAAAGATGTACAACAATGTATTTTTATTTTTTGAACTTCATGTATTTAAAAAAAAAAAGAAATAAAAAAAGAAAAAACAGACACGCACACACACACAGAGACACACAATACACACAAACACACATAAACACACACACACACACGCCAACAATCATGAGCACACACGCACACACACACACACACACACACACACA